AGTCACCCAGCTGACTTCCATGCCTAAGGCGGAAACTAGAACTCCCACAATCTCCTGGTTTCCAGGTCAGCACCTTCACCGCCTTATCAAACTACATCAAGCTTGGTTTGGGCTACTTCTGATTTTTTTAATCTTCCTCTCGACAGTTCAACCATCAAGGGACTATCACGGTGAACGAAGAAGGGACCGAGGCTGCCTCCGTAACCACCGTGGGGTTCATGCCCCTTTCCACTCAAATCCGCTTTGTCATTGATCACCCCTTCCTCTTCCTCATCTACGAACACCGTACCAGCTGTTTACTCTTCATGGGGAGAGTTTCCAACCCCAGCAAGTGTTAAAAGGCAGAATCACATCCGCAGGGGACAACTGCATGCCGAAAACTTGGGATTCATTTACACTATTACTTTTTTTTATAGGCAGAGGTAGAGCTCAGGTGAATCACAGCCCTGCTTTTCCCCCACCCTCCCCCCAAGTTGATACAGAGAGTCCTTGACTTACAACCGCAACTGAGCCCAACATGGCCGTTGCTAAGTGAAACATTTTGTTTTGCCTCATTTTACCACCTTTCTTGCCACAGCTGTTAAGTGAAGCACTGCAGTGGTTACCTTAGTCACCTGATTGTTAAGTGTATCTGGCTTCCCCCCATGTCCCCACGTAACTTTGAATGGTCACTAAACGAACTATTGTTAAGTCGAGGACTAGCTGTATCTTCCAAATGAGCTAAGGTGGCCAACTCCGGAACAGCAACAGAGAGAGAAAGACAAAAGAAAGAAGACAAAGAGTGACACAGAGAGAGAGAGAGAGAGAGAGAGAGAAAAGAGAAAGAAAAAGAAAGAAAGAATGAGGGAAGGAAGAAAAGAAAGCAACAGAGAAAGAAAGAAAAAGAAAGGAGACAGAGAGAGAGAAAGAAAGGAAGAAAGAAAAAGAAAGAAAGAAAGAAAGAAAGAAAGAAAGAAAGAGGGAGGGAGGGAAGGTTTAATTTTCAAAAGATAGCTTCTGAGTCTTTTTAGAAGCACTTGTGATAAAACTGGCTCTATCTCAATATCATTATGATTATAACATTCATTTATATTTAATAAAAAAATGTGAAACATTTGTTATTAGTCACAACCAAGAAGCGGTCTTAACTTTTTGATTTGGGCTTGCATCAAGGTTGGGAAATTCTGCCAGGGTGACGACTTGTAGCGCCTGCAGAAAATGCTGAAAAAGTCGATTTAAGGGGGTTCTGAGGTTAATATGCAAAAATCACCATCACTTTTATTACTTATTCTATGCATTTTGTGGAGATCTTAGTGCTGTTTGAGCTTGGGGGTTTGCTTGCAGGCATTTTGTCAGCTGACTAGCTAAAACTATCAGTACAAGAAGAGAGTGGGGTTTGTGGAACGGAGGAGGAGGAGGAGGAGGAGAGGGGAAGGAGGACTCTGAGGTCCTTGGTGCTCTCTGAACTGGGTTGTTCTCTTGCAGACGTTTCACGACCCAACTAGGCAACATCATCAGGGCTAGAAAGGTGTGGAGTTTGCTACTGGTAACGTTGCCTAGTTAGGGGTAACAAAATATCTGCAAGAAAACATCCCAGCTCAGAAAGCACCAGCAACCCCTCATTGAGCTAAAAATACTCTCCTCTCGCAGAATCTAAATGATAAAATCTGTGATTAGCCATCCTGCATATTTATTTCTGCAATTGTCCCAAGCTAATATTTTGTGGCCTGCTGGAATGTTATTTCTCCACCACAATCCTGCATTCCCTCCCTTTTTATAAACGCTTACTAGTTGATCCATGGCTGTTAATATGCTCGTTGACAATTCAGCAGGGATAACAGATAACAGATAATCAGAGTTGGAAGGGACCTTGTAGGTCATCTAGTCCAACCCCACGCCCAAGTGGGAGACGCTACACCATTTATAAAAGATGGCAGTCCAGTCTCTTCTTGAAAGCCTGCCAGGGATGACGCTCTCACAACTTCCGAGGGCAACATCTGTTCCATGGGTTGATTGTTCCCACTGTTAGAAAGTTTCTCCTTATTTCCAGGTTAAATCTTTCCTTGTTCAGTTTCCATCCATTGTTCCTTTTCTGGCCTTTGGGTGCTTTGGAAAACAGCTTGATCCTTTCCTCGCTGTGGCAGCCCCTCAGATATTGGAAGACTGCTCTCCTGTCTCCCCTAGTCCTTCTCTTCCCTAGACTAGCCAAGCCCAGTTCCTGTAACCGTTCTTCATATGTTTTAGTCTCCAGTCCCCTAATCATCCTGGTTGCTCTTCTCTGTACTCTTTCTAGAGTCTCAACATCTTTTTTTATAGCGTGGGGACCAAAACTGGATGCAGTACTCTAGGTGTGGTCTTACTAAGGCTTTATAAAGTGATATTAATACCTCCCTTGATCTTGATTATATCCCTCTGTTAATGCAATTTAGGACTACATTAGCTTTTTTGGCTGCTGCTGCACACCCAAAAAGTTAATGCAATCCTAAATTACATCAATAGAGGGATACAATCAGAGATATACCTGTATATCAAATTGTCCTTTTAACCAGTCATGAAGTCCTACCACCAAGTTTTAAAAGGAAGAGAAGATGGAAAACACAATCGCAACCGAGGACTCACTAGCATCGCAAATTTTGCAAGAAAGCTAAATATTTGCTTTCCAGGCCCTTAATGTAACCATTAACTTCTGTCAGTACCCAGGAGGGTATTTACTGAGTGACAAGCAGTTGGGGAAACAAAAACAGATTAGAGCCTGTCTGATCAAACATCACTTTGAAGTACAGGTAATCCTTAACTTACAACCATAACCGAGCACAAAATTGATGTTGCTAAGTGGGAAATTGGTTAAGTGAGTTTTGCCCCATTTAACGACTTGCCAAGTTTGTTAAGTGAATCACCACAGTTAAGTTAGTAACAGGGTTGTTAAGTGAACCTGGATTCCCCTCCCTTCAGAAGGTTGTAAAAAGAGGACCACGTGATTCAGGGAGGTTGCAACCGTCATAAACACCAGTCAGTTACCAAGCGTCTGAATTTTGATTCCGTGGGGAATGCTGCAATGGTGGTAAGTATGAAAAACGGTTGTAAGTCACTTTTTTACAGGGATCTTGTAACTTTGAATGGTCACTAAATGAACTGTTGTAAGTGGAGGACTCCCTGCAATGTAGTTGGAAGCCCTTGGGGTAAAAATCACAGTTCTTGAGTGGGAGGGAAAGCTCTCATGGGGCACTAGAAAAAGGCTTTAATTTATTGGCAGTTAAATAACAACCAAATTAAGAACAAAACAAAACAAAAAGATGTTTTTTTTTTCTTTCATTGGAAGGAATCAACAAGAAAACGGAGCCTCCTGCAGAAATGCTCCATCACAGTCATAAGTCTGTGCCCAGAGAGAGAGCATTGCGTGCCACCTCTGGCATGCATGCCACAGGCTCACCATCACAGCCTTATACCACTGCAGATGGGTGGCTGTCCAGTCTCTTCAAACTTAAAGACCTCCAGTGATGAAGCATCTACATCAGGGGTCTTCAAACTTGGCAAAGTTTAAGACTTGTGGACTTCAACGCCCAGTATTCCTCCTCCTCCTCCAGTCATGTTAGCTCAGGAATTCTGGGCGTTGAAGTCCACAAGTCTTAAACTTTGCCAAGTTTGAAGACCCTTGGTCTACAACTTCTGAAGGCAAGCCTTTCCACTGGTTAATTGTCCTCATTTGTTAGGAAATTTAAATTCCAGGTTGCTTCTCTCCTGGATTAATTTCCATTCATTGCTTCTTGTCCTGCCCTCTGGTGCTTGGGAAAATAAATCGACCCCTTCCTGTTTGCAGCAGCCTCTCAAATACAGGTGTTCTTTTTTTAAAAAAAAAGAACAGCAATGAAAGATAAACCTATTTTAACTCGTGCAAGCATGACTTTTGCCCTTCAGGCACATGCAGTGGAAAATATTGTTTTGAGAAATCCAGACTTAAAAACAAAAAGTATGTTTACACATCAGGGTCTTGGAGTACCCTTCTGATAAACCTGCAGCTGTTAACATATAATCTGGAAAAGTTTCTTTAAACAGTACTCCTTCATATATATTTTTCGTATCGCTCACCAAGGTGTCCAAAAATGCTGCACCTGGTGTTCTAATGGTCACACTGAATAAACTTTCAATGTTTTTTTCCCCCCAGCTTCTGCAGAAAATGAGGGATTTTCTTAAGACATGCCAGGCTAAGCTGCTTTGGTCAGCATTTATTGCAGCCTTATCCAACCTGAATATCCAACCTGAAACGTTCAAGTAGACGTGCCAAAGGTGCTTTTTTTTTCCCCCTTGAAAATCATCCCAAAGGTGCTTTTTCAAGAGGCAACTGGACTTCCTTGTTATTCTTTGAAGGCGTTTCGCTTCTCATCCAAGAAGCTTCTTCAGAATTAAAGACGGTTCTGAGAAGCAAAACATTTTCGAGGGAAAACAAAATCAAAAACAAAGGAAGTTGCCTTTTGAAAAGCACTTTTGGGACAGCCACGATCTGGATGACTAAGATTCTCCGTAGACTTTCAAACAGGTGGTCAATGACCTTCTAACTTCTAGCGGAGCACACACACCAAAAACCAAAAAACTCTTGGGAGAACTTTCTCCAAATTTCCTACAATGCTTCTGGTTCAGCTTAAAACCGTGCACTGTCTCGGGACAGGAAGTAAACACTCACCACAGCAATAACAGGGATCAGCACTCCAAGGTTGCCTGCACTGCTGGAGGCCTGTGAAAGACAATGGAGATCAATTGAGACCAATTAATGACCCCCATAATCCCTTGCGGGGTGGTGTCTGGGCAACTGGATGGAGCTAGCCAGATGTTTTAATGGCCGGATGCCCTTCCTATTGCCAATGTGGAGTTTTGTTCAGCAGATACATTCTCAGTGTGCCCAGAATATCTGCCTCTACCTAGGATTGAACTCACAGCCTTCTGATTGTGAGGCGAGAGCTCCACCTCTCAGCCACCGCACCACTCTAATTCCCACTCTCCTGGTGATTGGCCCAAAATCACCCAATTGGCTTTCGTGCCGAAGTGGGATTAGAACTCACCATCTCCTAGTGATTGGTCCAAACTCACCCAGCCAGCTTTCATAACTAAGGCAGGACTTGAACTCCCAGTATCCTGGTGATAGGCTCAAAGTCACCCAACCACTTTCATGCCTAAGGTGGGACTAGAATTCACCATCTCCTAGTGGTGATTGACCCAAAGTCACCCAACGGGTTTTCTTTTTATAAATAAATTTTATTAAGTTTTCAAATTTTAAAAAACATAAAACTTTATACATTGTTATCAACATCCAGACATCTTTTGTTATCTCCTTACATTTTTCAGTATATGTATTTACTGATTCCTTTACCATTACATCTTACTCTTGCTATAAATCAATATCTTTTATCCTTACACATCAATCTTCTCCGTGGTATATTTACATATTTACATATTCCCTCATTCTTTTCCTAATTGCCATTTTATTTTATTTTTATTTCTAAACCACTCATCCCAGGCCCTATAGTAAATTGAACCTTCACACCTGACTGGTTTTCATAGCTAAGGCGGGACTAGAACTCCCAGTCTTCTAGTCCCTAAACCAACACCTTAACTACCAGACCAAACTGGCTCTTTGTTTCGTTTTAACTGTTTCCATTGAAATTTTAATAGTTGGTTTTAATTATTTAAAATATTTTGGGGTTTTTTTTCGTTTCTTGACTCTGTGTCTTGCCTAGAGATGAGCAGCTATAATGCAATTGATAATTAATATGATTTATAATAAATAGGGACAGACTTTCATTCTGAAGATTGATTGTAACCTACCTTCAGTGCTGGCCCTTTCTCACTTGCCCGCTCGCTGGCCCTTTTTCCTTCCAGCCCCAGCTGCACAAAAAGTTCCAACAAATTCATCAGCAGCTCGTCCACAACGTGTTCATCCTGTATATTTGCAGCTATGTTAGCCAGGGCATTAATAACAGCTAAGGAACAGTGTCTGATGAGAAGGGAGGAGGGAAGGGCAGAAGAGGGGTGGAAAAAAGAAGAGGAAAAAAGAAGAGAAAACCAGAAGCATCAACTTTCTGATGAAATATTTCATTTATTTTTTCTCGTGTTCAAAGCTGGGCAAGATTAGGAAAGGGAGTTTGAATCTCCTCTGAAAAGCCTTGAAAAACAGGACTTAGATAATCCCTCCAGGTGAGATGGGTGGCATTGAAATTTAATAACTAAATACAGGTAAAGGTAAAGAGTTTCTCCTGTCCAGTTGTGTCCAACTAGGAGGCAGTGCTTATCTCTGTTTCTTAGACAAGGGAGCCAGCATTGTCCGAAGACATTTTCTGTGGTCACGTGGCCAGCATGGCTACATGCCAAAGGTACACAAAACACTGTTACCTTCTCATTGAAATGGTACCTATTGATATTGGAATTCATTGTTGGAATGAATTTCTATGCAACAACTACAATAGTATAGAGTCAGTTGAGGGCAGTATTTACAAGTTTGGATTTATGGTATATACTCTATGCTCTTTTGTTCTAAGTAGAGTTTCCTGTTATGGTTATATGGTTGAGCAGTAAAGCACATGGTGACTGTACTCTTTGTTTTTTCTGTATGGTGCTCTATATAAACAGAATTTGTAACAATTGATCTTCCTCGCATTTGCAAGCTTTCGGACTGCTTAGGCGGACAGAAGCTGGGGCAAGGAACGGGAACTCATCCTGTCACATGGTGCTTGGGTTTCGAACCTGGGCTTTCAGCTTTCTAGCCGACAAGCTCAGCGTCTTTAACCACTGAGCCATCGCACCCATAAATAAAATAGAATAAATCCAGGTGGCACCAGATCTAACACCCTGATAAGAAAAAAATCTGGATAGACATTCTGACTTTCGTGTGAAGCATCAGTTCCTAGATTAAAATAATCACCATCTTCTTTTAACAACCCCATAATCCCTTGAGGGGTGGAGTCTGGGCAACTGAATGAAGCTAGCAGTGTTTTACTGGCCGGATGCCCTTCCTTTTGCCAGTGTGGAGTTTTGTTCAGCAGATATATTCTCATGGTGCCCAGAGAGAGAAATATCTGCCTCTACCTAGGATTGAACTCACAGCCTCCTCTCTTCTTTTTCCTCTAGACCACCGCACCACTCCTTTCTAGATTAAAATAATGACATGGCAAAAATCTACAAACGTTCACATCAACTAGTAATTAAAAAAAACATATTGCAGGAGTACAGCAAAAATAAATAAATTAAGTTACCTGTATCCGTGATCTTTATAGTCTTTAGTCGCAGAGTATACAATGGAGCTTGCTTTCACGCTGATCTGCTGAAACAAATTCCATACCTCCTGGTAAATATATTGCTGGAAATAAGGAAACAAAACCCAAATTAGCAGGGGGAAACAAAAACCTTGGGTACAAACAATCAAAACAAATGAAAAAAATTAACCCTGACACCATTAATGGGAAAACGAATCTAACACGATCTCTTAAAAGATGTCCAGAAGCTTCAAAGGAAATGGAGGAAGTTTTAGGTCCCAAGATGTCCTCTTGAGAAGTGAGACTTAGCAGAATCTTTGCAAGCTGTTCCTAGATGTAAAAAGTCAGTTGAGCCCAGCTTGCTTTTAGAGTAATTCCAACTTGGCACATGGGGGTCAAAGGCTTTGGGTAGACCGAAATGCCACTTTGGCAAAGTTGGAGGGAAGGAGAAGGCAGGAGAGGAGGAAGAACCTGCAAAAAGAGTTAAAATACTCACCAAATCTCTCCCTGCAATGACAGCCCTCTAGCTAAATTCTCGATTAGTAAGAGGAGGGGAGAGACACAACACTTATTAGACTAACAGGAGGCAGTGTCAGCCTTGGAAGCCATGTTTTATGCAGAAACTTCCAAGCTGCCACATCTTAGTGCCTGGGAAACTAGACAGGGTCTTATTTTTGGGAAAACATGGTAATTATACCAATGCATAAGAATCTCTTCAACTAAGGGTTAACGCTAGCTTGGCACCAGATAAGGGTCAATGCAATTCAAGGCAGGTTATTTCGCTTGTGGCTACGTAGGGATTCCAGGCTGATTCCTCTTTTGACTCCGCCCCCAGATTCTGCCTACATTCTACCTCCTGGGACTCCAGACTATATTCCACCACAAATACCAACTAAAGATAAATAAAGCAACTGTCAACAGGGAGCTGATCAGCCTTCAGCGGATACTGACAATCAATCACCCAGAAGGACAGTTGGAATTGACAGCTTCCCAGGCAATTGACACATCCTTACATTTCCGGTGATAACTAAACAGCCCAGCTGGTCAATGATGAGCACGTCAAGAGGAGACGGTGGCTGGCAGAACTTCTGCTGCAAAATCTGGAGAATGGGTTCCATCACTTTGGGGGTGTCCCTCAGAGCCACCGCTATGTGGCCCAGGGCACGGATTGTGTGGTCTGGAATGAGGTGGGCTTCCCTTAAAGAAAACAACACGACACTATTTTTTTAAAAAAAATGCATGCATATGAACGTGAAAAAATTACCAATAAAGGAGACTATTTGTAAATCAGGGTTGAGGGGTCTTTGATGCTTTCTGAGCATGGTTGTTTTCTTGCAGACGTTTCATGACCCTACTAGGTAACTTCATCAGTGCTAGAAGGGATTGGAGTTTGAAGAGAGGAGGAAGAGGACGACGACAACAACTATAGGGTCCTTAGTGCTCTCTGAATTTCATCATTTGCTTGCAGACGTTTTATTACCCAACTAGGTAATATCATCAGTGCTAGATATGACTGATATACTGTATGCAGAGAGGACGAAGGATCCTTGGTGTTCTTCAGCTTGGTTGTTTTCTTGCAGATGTTTTGTTACCCAAACTAGGTAACATCATCAGTGCAACACTGATGATGTTACCTAATTTGGGTAATGAAACATCTGTGAAAAAAAATATTCACCTAGCAATGGAATATTCCAGAGATATTCCCTTCCATTTTCTTCTGGATCACGCTGAATGTCCTCCCGGACCATGCCAATTCAGGGAAGACTTAACTTTCTGGAAACAAAAGCAGCCTGAGATGTTTTGTACCTGGTACTGTGGATAAAACAGATTGGTTTCAGGTCCAGAACTCCCTAGAACACCTCAAACTGCTTCCACTTCAGATAATTTATTTCTGGAATCTGCTCAACTGCTGCGGAACAGCACGGAGAAAAGGAAATGGAACATTTTATTGCCAGACTGATGCATTTTTGACATCCTCAGATGCCCGTACGTACGTACATGCCCTCCTTTGATCGTAAAAAGCTTTTTAGGTTGCGGAACTATCTCGCGGAAAACACCAAATTCCAGATCTGCGCTGAAACCAGCTGATTTTAGGCCTTTTAAAGGAAAGAGACTATAACCCCCAAACCAGGCCTCGGGGAAGGAAGTAGAGATCTCCTGCTCGAGCAGGGAGGGTTGGACTAGAAGATCTCTAAGCCCCCTTCCCAACTCTGCATGATCACTTTGCAGCATTTTAAGTCACTTACTTGTCACTTTCTTGGGAGATGTAGAGACGGTTCGATAAACTGGCTAAGAAGGCTTCAACGATGACAGGATCGATGGTCAGCCCAGCTTTCAAACACCTGCAAGATATATAATTTGACTAGAAATTAAAAACTGGATTTTTTCGAGGGCCAGATCAGCATCGTGGTTCTCCTCCGCAGGCTGAAGGGGGGGGGAGAAGACGGGACAGTCACCTCCTGCAGCCCTCTGCCAGCCAAAATGCACCACGGGGCCACCGCATGCCACCCTTGTCGGATCCCTAAAAGTGATACTGCCACTCCATTAGGAGAAGGGGGGGACTTGAATTCGATTCATTGCTATTGCCTGCGACAACTGCTATTTTATGGCTTGTATCCTTTTTTCTTTTTCTTTTGAAGACGTTTTGCCTCCCATCCAAGAAGCTTCCTTCCCTTCCCCACCATTCCAGTCAGAGCTTCTTGGCTGAGGAGCGAAAACAGGGGTGGCATCCTGCTGGCCTAGCAACCGGATCGGTGAGCTGCGCGTTGTGTGCATAGTACTTGCAAAACAACTTCTCCTGCAAGCAATGACCATTTCTTGCTGACGCGCCGCGCAAAGCAACTAAGGTGAGAATAGCTTAGTTTAGTTTACTTTTATTGTCCTTGCACCTCGTACAACAAAATCGAACACCATCTTCGGTGCACATCATGACCATGAAAATAAAACACAAACACACATCCTTCGCATTCTATACATTGAATTAAAAACCCTTGATATTGTATTAATATTGCACTATACGGTAGAATTCAAAAGAGTTACTGCCCTGGGAGATAGAAGCTGTTTTTCAGCCTATCTGTCCTTGTTTTTATTATTCTGTACCGTCTGCCAGATGGTAATAGTTCAAAAAAAGAGTTACCAGGATGAGATGGATCTTTGAGAATATTTTGAACTTTCTTAAGGCAGTGGGAGCTATAAAGCTCTTCCAAAGAGGGGAGAGGGAAACCCATGATCCTCTGGGCAATGACATTAACCCTCTGGAGTGCTTTCCTATCCGCTACTGTGCAATTGGCAAACCATATAGAGGTGCAATAAGTTAAGATACCCTCTATGGTGCAGCGGTAGGTCACCAGCAGTTTTCCATTGTTGTTCTTTTCTGAGAAGCCTCAGGTAGTATAATCTCTGCTGGGCCCTTTTGACCAGGTCTGCAATGTGAGCACCCCAGGTCAGGTCCTCTTTTAGGGTAACACCCAGAAAATAAAAGAATAAAGGACAGCCTAGAGCCCGGGCAGGTGGGCGGGACCAACCGAAGAAAAGACGATCTTCAGACTGAACCAGTTAGGTGTCAACTGCTCTTCAGAGCTACCAGTTCTATAGAACCGGGTCAAACCGGTAGAATTCCACTGAGTGAAATGTCTTCAAAGAAAAAAAAAACAAGACACTCCAGTTGCCTCCTGGAAAAAAAGCACCTTTGTGATAGTCCTCCAGTTACGACCGTAATGGAGTTGGCAAAATCTGCTATTTGCGAAGAACCCAGGGTGGCTTTTCCACCTGCCGAGAGAACCAACCTCTTTGCACACCTCAGGTAAAACCTACCTGCAGATGTTATCGATTGCAATGTCCCGGAGCTGTTCGTACATGGAGGACTCGTTTTTCTTGCCCGACATTACGCTCAGCGTGGACTCCGCGTGCTCGTTGGTTATGCTGATCTTGATGTCGTTGGTGCCTAAGAGGAAAAGAAACGGAGAGGGTTGCTTGGGGAGATTTTCTTACTCCAAAAGCATTTTATGATTAAAATAAATTTGATAAAAATCCCAAAAAATCCGATTTAAATTAAGGGAAAAAAATTTTTTTTAGATTAAAAAAAAAATCATCAATTTTTATCCACCCTGCTGACCCCCCCCCCTCTAAACACCGCTGAAGATGTCACTTAGCCTGATAAGAAAATGTTTGAAAACCGGCCCAACAAACTCAGGAGAATGGAACCTCCATCCTCAAAAGAAAAATCAATTGGGCTGCTTAATGGATCAGGAAGACGCAACAGAAAGTGAAAACATGAATTGGACAAAGGTTGCAGAGGGCATCTAATAAGTATGTCCAGCCCTGGCCAGCTTGCCAGTTTAGGGGTTGGCCATGGCCGCCCGTTCCTGCACATCGGTTGCTCTCGTCAACGGCCGACCGGTGGTGTTAGAAGGTGTTGTGCTATGCCGGCAGCCTGTGCAGATGGCAGCAGAATCGGACAGTGGGGAAGAATGGGGATTAGTCCGAGAGCCTGAGGAGGACTAGGACGAGGGTCCTGTGTCCAATGCAGAGATGAGGCCAGGGCCATCTGGGAGTGGAGTGCTGACTCTGGAGCCACCAGAGTCTGGCAGTAGCAAGGCAGAGGAACAAGGGGAGCCTGTTCCCAGTGCGCATGTGCGCAGAGCTGCTAGAAGGAAAGAGCAGCTGAGACAAAAGAGGCGACTCGGGAGTAAGGCTTGGAGGTGATTGCCCCTCTCATAAGGTATAAAGTAAGTGCAAAGGTAGGAAAACCTTTGCAGGAAGCAAAGTTGTTTTCTCTGTTCGGATTCAACCTTGAAGCTCTGTGTGGACTTTGTACTTCGGTTGGTTTTTTACAGTTCATTTGGCACTTTAGTTGTTGGCAGCAATTCAAAGGAAAGAAAGGTGGGTGCTTATCTCGAGGGACTATTTGGGACTCATTACGGGCTGGGAATGAACATAATTCCCAGCGTTGAAATAAAACGAGAGTTGTTTGGACTAAGCCTGTGCTTAATTACAGTCTCAGGAAGCCTTGGTCAGAAAAGAAGGGCCATTTCCTCAACAACTGACTGACGGCGTTCATAGCTGTCAGTGTTCTCCATTATTACATTATTCACAGCTGTCGGCGTTGTCCATTCTCTCTCCAACAGCAGATCGGCGGTGTTCCCAGCGCCCGGGTGGATGGCGCTGGGCGCAGGACGCTACCGGAAGCCGCTGGAACTACCTAATATCACCGGATGTTGGCTCTGTGGGAGGGGACATGGCTATGGGTGTGGTTTCCACATGTGTATGTAAGCAGCGCTGGTAGGCAGTAGCTCCCAACACTGACTATTCCAAAGTTTGTGCTCATTCGTGCCAGTTCCACATTAAAACCTTGTATCAGGCAGCCGCCTGTTTGTGTGTGTCTTTTGTTGAGTTGATGGATGAGAAAGCAAACCAAGAATACCTGTCTGGTACTGGCTGTGATACTTGTACAATTTCACCAGGACTGGAGAGGGGATCACAAGGAAATCCCGCAAAGACGGATTGACCGAGTGAACCACCACGGGGAACCTCTCGCACAAGCGGCCGAGACCCTGTGGGGAAAAAAAAAAGAAAGTTTCGGAACATTACACATGACACGTGGAAGAAAGGCCACACAATCCTGGCTCTAACCCAGGGGTGTTAAACCCAAGGCCCGGGAGCCGGAGTCAGCCCACAGGGTGCTTAGATCTGGCCTGCAGGGCTGCCCTGGAAACAACAAAGGACCAGCCCGCGGTGCCTCTGCCAGTGAAAACGGAGCTCCACTGCCACTTTGCCTCCTGGGAAGCCGCCCCTCCCCGCTGGGAATCCACCACACCTGTAAGCAGCAGATCAGAAGAGGCAAGTGGGCGATGATCACTTTGCTGGAGGTCTTGGACTGCAACTTTTCGGACAACCGGATGCAGAGGTTTTCTGCCCCTGGTTTGCGAGAGAAAAACTCTTGTTAGAGGAAATGTCTCGTGGGAAGAGATGCAAACTCAGTCGGAACCCGAAAGCTAAACAGATACAGGTGCGCTCGGGCACACCTTGAAGTGCAAAACCCGTGCAATCAAGGTAGGCCTTTTCAGTGACAGTCATGACCGGCGACAGTCACTAAATGAAAAAATCATGCTTTACAAGTTTATTTCCACCTTAGGGACTGCCCAGGATTAATTCTTGCTTGTCACAAGCAAAAATGCCCGTCAGTTGCAAATGCAAGGATTGGTCAGAGAAGTAAAATTTTCAGCACCATTTGTAACTTCAAACAGTTGTTTGCGCACGGCAGTCGGTAACCGTGGTGTCTACCTAAATAGTCAATAACTTACGAGAGGTGGGCTGCACATACGGTAACAACCGGTTAGCCTAACACAGAACCAAAAAGGTGAGCCTGTGCGTGCACGCCCCCTTTGCGATTGCACACGGCTGCAAAAACACAGGGATTTCCTGCACGCGGCAGCTGCGGTGAGTAGAGTGGCGCGGGCGAGACGCGGAAAGCAGCTGGGCTGCGTGGGTGGGGTGAGCAAGCAGATATATAGGATGGGATAGCACCTGGTTGGGTTGGCTACCCTGTTTCCCCCCAAAATACGACCTACCCTGAAAGTAAGTCCTAGCTTGATTTTTTACATGTGTGCCCAATATAAGCCCTAATTAAGATCCCACCCAGTCCAGAGTGTATGGGTAAATAATTAAGTTAGGGTAGGGATGGAGGTGGAGCTGCCCTACTACTAACCTTTGGACAGTTGTAGCCAGGCCTCGCACACCTTGCCGGTCCATTTCTTCTGCAGCCGGGAAGGCTGCAAGAGTTTCCTAAAGGCCTCTGTAGCCGATAACAAAGCTCTGGATCGATCCAGAGCTCCGTTACTGGCTACAAAGGCCTTCAGGAAAGTCTTGCTGGCTGTAGAAGAAGTTCCTGAAGGCCCCTGACAGCAAAAAGGAGGCCGGGGCGACACATGCAAGTGAGGTTAGTCAGTGGATTAAAGCTCCCCCCGAAAATAAGACCTGGTGCCTTTTTTAGTGGCAAAAAAATATAAGACAGGGTCTTATTTTCATGGAAACATGGGACTGGTACGGGTGAGCCGGTCCGAAACTGCAGCAGCTCCCCCTCTGCTTACAACCACAATGAAGCCCAAAATTTATGTGTGGTTTAAATGAGAAATTTGTGGGGGTTTTGTAAAAGTTTTTTTAAATTTTTTAAGGACAAACACTAACAAACACAAACATAAAACATCAACATAAAACCATTTTCCAAAATACAGCGTGTCGGTTGGTACATTTCTTTCGTTCAATGTCACAATATCAACGGTCTTCCCTCCCAAACATACATTCATATTACATAGATCAACTGTACATATTATATTACGTTATACTATATTATTATTGTATCGTTATTAAGACTCAAGTATAAATTTATATATTTCTTATCGAGCAAATCTCAGGAGAAATTTGTTGAGTGGGTTTTTCCCCCAACTTTTGTCATCATATTTGTTAAGTGAAACACTGCAGTTCTTAAATTAGTAACCTGGTTGTTAAGTGAATCTCATTTTCCCCATTGATTTTGCTTGCCAGAAGGTCACAAGAGGGAATGGCATGACCCCCGGGACACTGCAATCGTCATAAATGTGAGTCACTTGCCAAGAATCCGAATTTTTGATCAGGTGACCACGGGGATGTTGCAATGGTTGTTAAGTGCAAAAAACCATTGTAACTTCGAACGGTCACTAAACGAAATGTTGTAAGTTGAGGGCTACCTGTGCAGGTGGCCGAAAGTCATCGAACGGGGCAAAACTCATTTAACCACGGTCTCACTTAGCAACTTAACTCCTGGGCTCAATTGTGGTCGTAAGTCGAGGACTACCTGCATATAAGACTCACCTTGCTCATCCTTCACAGCCCAAACCATGAGGTCCACGCAGGCGGCGTTCGCCTGGCAACGCAATTTCAGCGGATTCAGCTCGTTGTGGAATTTATCGACTTCGTGAAGGAGCTTCTGAAGCTCCGGCTGGCTAGTGTTGAATTGTTCCAGCACAAAATCGTGAATTTCTTTCACAAAAGAGTTGGGAAGTTCTAAGAGATGGAACAGACAAAAAAATAATAATAGGTAAGTAGAATTCTGACAAAAACCATGTCTGGACATACAGTGATGGTGCAGCAAAAAAAGCATCAGGTTGGGGAGAAATGCTGGATCTTAAAACTAATCGGCCCTTCTTTCAGAACCAGAAATATCTTTTATTCCCCTTTGACAAACGTTCTTCATAGAGAACCACTCAGTTTTCTACAGAGAAGCATTCTCCAAATATTCAGAAGAATATTCTCTGGGACTCTGGGAATATTCAGTAGGAAAATGGCTTAGCTATTTCGTGAAAACCCATGCAATTTGGGCCGCCACGATGTAAAAAAGACGTTGAGACTCTGGAAAGAGGGCAGAGAAGAGCAACAAAGATGATTAGGGGACTGGAGGCTAAAACATATAAAGAATACTTGAAGGAACTGGGTATGTCTAGTTTGATGAAAAGAAGGACTAAGGGGGACATGATAGCAGTCTTCCAATATCTGAGGGGCTGCCCCAAAGAAGAGGGAGTCAAGCTATTCTCCAAAACACCTGAAGGCAGGACAAGAAGCAACAGATGGAAACTAATCAAGGAGAGAAACAACCTAGAACTAAGGAGAAATTTTCTGGAAGCTAGAGCAATTAATCAATGGAATGGCTTGCATTCAGAAATTAAAAATGCTCCAACACTGGAAGTTTTTAAGAAGAGGTTGGATAACCATTTGTCTGCAATGGTATAGGGTTTCCTGCCTGATCAGGGGGTTGGACTAGAGTACCTTCTCCCTCTTCTTCCTCTTCCCCTTCCCCTCTTCCTCCTGTTCTGTTCTGTTCTATTCATTTTGCTTCTCCTTCTCTCCTCCTTCTCCTATCCTATCCTATTCCATTCCATTGCATATTTTCTATTCTACTCTACTCCACTCCACTCCACTCCACTCCACTCCATTCCATTCCTCTATTCTATTCTATTCTATTCTATTCTATTCTATTCTATTCTATTCTATTCTATTCTACTCTACTCTACTCTACTCTACTCTATTCCTTATTCCTATCCTATCCTATCCTATCCTATCCTATCCTATCCTATTCTTATTATTCTTATTCTATTTTTACTCTTTTAAATCACCAGGAAGTCAAAAGCTAATTAATGCCTCTTAGTGGCCAATGATCCAATGGAGGTTCCTTCGTCTTCGTAACGCAGTCGTCCTACCTTTCATATGGTACAGGGTGTCTCTCAGCATTTTGAATTGAGCAACGTACAGAGAGTCGCTGAACATTTTGTAGAAGAGCTCAGCGTGCGGATTGGCCTGTAAGGCATTTAATAGAAATGGATCAATTCAAGAGCAAATTTTAAAGCATCGGATTTGTACGGTGGCGATTCCTTTTTAAAAAAAAAAAAAAAAGAAGGAACAAGTCTCCCAAACGAGCAATTAACCAGCCTGTTGACTTTGATCCAGCATATGACTATGTAAGAAACCAGAGTATTTAGATGATTAATCCACCAGAGAACCAATCAGCTGCTCAGAATTTAAATATAGCTCCAAACAAACAACCAATCCCACAACCAAGTGACCACACACTAGACTATATATAGGCTAAAGAGGAACAGGACAAGGACATCCTTACCTAGTCTGGTCACAAAATGTCCTGAAGCTAAAATGAAACAAGCTTGAAGAGCAAAACCACTGGCAACTTCTAAAACCCGAGCCACGAAGTATTTTTCTATTATTCCACTGCAAAAATAAACGTTACCTCGATAACTTCAGCTGCCACTGCATCCAGGTTTTTGAGAACAGAGTCCCCAACTATTTGCTTGACCTACGGTTGAAAAGATATACGCATATAAAATCCAAACGTTTGCAAAACGTTTTGAGCATGACGTGGATTGTGTAGGTGAGCATGTTATAGGTATTCCTTGACTTATAACCATTTGTTTAGCGACTGTTCAAACTTACGAAGGCACTGGGGAAAAGTGACTTGAGCCTATGGCTGTTGTACCACCCCCCTGGTCACGTGTTGTGGTTAGCCGGCAGCAGGTGTGGACGGCTGAGGAGAGCAAGGACTCAGATGAGGGGCCAGGACCATTAGGGAGTGGACTGCTGCCTTTAGAGATTGTGGGGGCTGGCAGCAGCAATGAGGAGGTTCCCGAGGAGCCTGTGCCAAGTACACGTACGCGCTGGATTGCTCATAGGACAGAGCAGTTACAACAGCACGGGCGACTCGGGAGTGAGGCTGCAAGGTAATGGCCCCTCCCTCAAGAAGATAAAAGCCAGCTGTGAAACAAACTTTCTTTGCAGAAGGCAAAGACGTTTTGAAACTCCAGCCTCGTGGACATTCCAGTATCCTGAGTTTGTATTTGAAGATTCTTATTTTGCAAATTATTTCTTGTTTGTTATCTTTTGGCAAGTCTCGCACAGTTTGGCAAGGCTTGTGCTTATCACAGCTAATTATTTTGCAAAAGCATTACAAGGTTTCTGTTCTTTTTGCATTGTGTTTGATTTGTCGGAAAAGGGCGTGGTTAAGAATATCACATGACCTCCATTTGCAACCTTCCCAGCAGGCTTCCGACACGGGAAAAACAAGGGGGGAAGCCAGATTCACTTAACAACAGCATGATTCACTTAACGAATGCAGTGATTTGCTTAACAACCCTGGCCAAAAAAAAAAAAAGATTGCAAAATCAGCTGCAACGCGCTTAGCAACTGCTCTGGTTAACTAATGGACATTCTGGTCCCAGTTGCAGATCTCTGATTAAAGTTTCAAGGACACTTTTAGCCCTGGAAATTACAAGCAGTCATTTGTAATAAATCAGTAATCTCTACCCACAAATTCTAACAATTTGGTAGCTAACAGGAAAGAGTTAATAGCTTTTGCACTCCTCGTTATTAAATATTTTCTGGCTGCAGAGAACTTTATGCTACACTGTCCCAAAGGTGCGTTTTTCAGGAGGCAACTGGATGCTCTTGTTTTTTTTCTTTTGAAGATGTTTCGTTTCTCATCCAAGAAGCTTCTTCAGCTCTGACTGAAGATGGTGGGGAAGGGAAGGATTTATACTCCTTGCAGTCAGCTGGTCATTTGCATCCTTTTAGAGGGTTGTTGAGGCCACGTGGAGGTGTGTCTGTGTCCTCAGGGTCACCTGAGTGGTGCAAATGGAGCCTTCTGACTGGATGGAGGGGAATGGAAGGATAGATACTCCTTGCAGACAGCTGGTGATTTGCATCCTTTTAGAAGGTCGTTGAGGCCACTTGGAAGTTTATCTGTCACCTGAGTAGTGCAAATGGGGGTGGAGCCTTCCTGAATATAAACTCATCCCAAACAGCCTGTGCCTGTGTTCAACAATGAAGGGACACAGGGAAAACAAACAAACCTCCTGCAGAAGCCACAGCTCCACAACACAATCCTTTCCAGCAGTCCCAAGAAGGCTCCACATCCATTTGCACCACTCAGGTGACTCTGAAGACACAGACAAACCTCCAAGCGGCCTCAACGGACTCCCTAAAAGGATGCAAATGACCAGCTGTCTGCAAGGAGCATAAATCCTTCCATTCTCCACTATCCAGTCAGAGAACAAGAAGCTTCTTGGATGAGAAGCGAAACGTCTTCACAAGAAAAAACAAGAAAGTCCAGTTGCCTCCTGAAAAAAAAGCACCTTTGGGACAACCATGACCTGGAGGACTGAGAATTTCCACAGACCTTTATCCTACCAGGGGTAAATAACTCCCAGGGGCGGCCCACTTACCATGTTCAACAACTGGCGAAGCATTTCTAGTGGAATGTTAAACTCCTTGTTACTAATCCCATTAAAGAGGGGCGAAACAGAGAAACTGGAGCTGATGGTAGAGAAATAATATTCGGGATCGACCGCGCTTCCATCCGGCAGGTAGGAACCTTATTAAAGAAGGGAAGAAGAAAAATGGTAACCAACCTCTTTTGTCGCCCACGGAGACGAAACGGAGAGAAGGAAGCAAAGGACGCGTTCACTCTCTCTTTTTTTTTAAAATTAATATTTTTTTAAAAAAATTATTTTATTTATTTTCAAAATGCATATGAAAATTTACATTTTAACAGTTCTGCGTCAAGCGTTACTTATATACATAAATACAATATTTACAATTCTTCTCCATATCAAACCTTGTTTCTCTTACCTAACCCTATATATATAACATTTCCCAAACCTCATAGAACTCAAGACTCTTCTTTCTCTTTTAGTTTCCTCGTCAGTCTGTCCATCTCAGCACAATCAAGTATTTTATTTATTCTCATGTTTTCAGAAAACAGGACGCATTCACTCTCAAAGCCGATCGTTTAACCAAAGTCCAAGAGGCTACACCAGGGGTCTTCCAACTTGGCAAGTTTAAGACTTGTGGACTTCGACTCCCAGAATTCCTGAGCTAACACAAGTGGAGGAGGAATTCTGATAGTTGAAGTCCACAAGTCTTAAAGCTGTCAAGTTTGAAGACCCCTGTTTAGACTTCTGACAACAGCCAACCAAACATGGCAGCTTTAAGACTTGCGGACTTCAACTCCCAGAATTCCTGAGCTAACATGACTGGAGGAGGAGTTCTGGGAGTTGAAGTCCACAAGTCTTAAAGCTGTCAAGTTGGAAGACCCCTAAGCGACACGCTTCATTAGATTTCCTTAAGAGTGCAAGAAAACCGTAGCACTGACAGAGCTCGCACGCACTGGCTTTCACTTGAGGATTTCAGGAGGTTGCTGACTGCAGACGTGTTTGTATGACAAGGTGACCATGGTTTAGCATGGGTGGGGAATGCAGGAGGGGTAACATAACAAGCTCTTGCTGGCCACTGTAGGAAGTTGGCCAGCACATCAGTGGTTGCAAAAAAAAAAGAGAGAATATTTGTAACTCAGGGTTGAAATGAGGGGTCCATGGTGCTCTCTGAGCTTGGTGGTTTTCTTGCAGTCGTTTCATGATCCAACTAGATAACATCATCAGTGCTAGAAGGGAGTGGGGTTTGTGGAGGAGGAGGAGGAAAAGAAGAGGAAGACGACTGTGAGGTTCTTGGTGTTTTCTTGCAGATGTTTCAATACTCAACTAGATAATGAAGGCTAAACCAAGTAACATCATCAGTGCTCATTATCAGATTACTGATGTTATCTAGTTTGGGTGATGAAACTTCTGCAAGAAAAACAACCAAACTCAGAGAGCACCAAGGACCCCACAGTTCTCTTCCTCTTTCTCGATCCTCCCCTTCTCCTCCTCTCTGCACACCGCACTCCCTTTAGCACTGACAGTGTCACCTAGTCGGGTCATGAAACGTCTGTAAGAAAACTAAGGTTAGAGAGCCCCGAGGACTCCTCGCATTAGTGGCACAAAATGAAAATATCCAGTGACCGGAGAAGGAGCCAAGTTGGCAAAGGACGCAACTTGGGGACAACATTTTCATATGTTATGTTCTACATGAATTAGCTGATTTTGTTTTTTGCAAAAAAAAAGAAGGAAATACCTTCAAAATACTGTATAGCCGTTCCTCCCGGAGAACCAGGCGGAGGGATCCCACGATCAGGACTGACCTGAGATGGAGAGACGGGTATGAAATACCATCCAACGGGGCTGGGCTTTGCTCTGCCCTACTAGCTGGGTGGGAAAAATTAAGATGATAACTAAAATATTTCAAAGAAGGGCCACTGCCTCTAATTTCCCCTTGGTTGGTGGTCTTTTGAAATGCAAGCATCTTTCGGGCTTGAAGAATCTAGTCAACTAAAGGCCAGCACTAAATTGGTGCTAGATAAGAGTTAAAGGAACATAGGTTTTGTGGCTAAGGAGGGACTAGAATTCACCCTCTCCTGGTGATTGGCTCAAAATCACCCAGCCAGTTTTCATGTCTAAGGTAGAACTAGAACTCACCGTCTCCTGGTGATTGGCCCAAAGTCACCCAGCTGCCTTTCACAGATAAGGCGGGACTAGAACTCACCGTCTCCTGGTGATTGACTGAAAGTCACCCAGCCGGCTTTCATGCTAAGGTGGGACTAGAACTCCTAATCTCCTGGGTAATTGGCCCAAAGTCACCCAGCCAGCTTTCATGATTAAGGCAGGATTAGAACTCACCATCTCCTGGTGATAGGCAAAAAGCCATCCAGCCAGCTTTCATGCCTAAGGCGGAACTAGAACTCACAGTCTCCCAGTTTCTAGCCTGGTACGTTAACCACTTAATTGTTCCAGGCAGAGTTACTTCTCATCATCATCCTCAGGACCACTATTTTTGTAGAGTGGTGCGGTGGCCTAGAGGTGGGATTCTCACCTCACAATCAGGAGGCTGTGAGTTCAATCCTAGGTAGAGGCAGATATTTCTCTCTCTGGGCACAATGAGAATATATCTGCTGAACATAACTCCACATTGGCAACAGGAAGGGCATCCGGCCAGTAAACACTCGGCTCCTTTCCGTTGCCCAGACTCCACCCGGCAATGGATTATGGGGGTCATTAAAAGAAGATAATCATCAGGACCGCTATTTTTACTGTGCAAATTTTCAAGATTAAATAACCCTCACCCACGTGCTTAGTTTTTCCGCTAGGTTGGAAATGCAATACTAGGCACAACGTCTGGCCGGTGTCAAAGTGAGCCTGGAGTTCAGGACATGGGGGGGGGGATACAAGTAGATTTCATTCTAAAGGCAACCGCACCTGTGAGATGCTGGAAACGCTGCTTGTTTTCCTCTTTAAAGATCCTTCTTGGCAGACAGTCAGCAGGGAGTTGGGAAGAATGGAGCGGAAGTCGTTGAAGGAACGCCTCCGAATCCCGTCTAGCTCGCTGGAGGCCCGGCGGGAATGCGGGGTCACTTTGGGGAAAAGCTTGGACAGCAGAGCCTCTTCTGAGTGGCTGTAGCGACCAAACGCCCGGGATATTCCGATTAGGCAAGGCAGGGCGTATTTGCACAAATATTCTGGAAAAACAAGAAGTTGGGAGTTTATCGACCTCATCCGATAAAATGGCGGTCCACAAACTTTGGGGCACAAGAGACCGGTTTCGTGGAGAGGGGTTTTTCCGTGGACCAGAGGGAGCATGGTTTCGTGTGCTGCCTCCACCCCATGGATGAGACCTGTTTGCCCGGCCCAGTTTCTGGCATGCTGGGGGGGGGGTCGGGGTCAGTCCGTGGCCTGGGTGGTTGTGGACCCCTGCAGTAGAATGTTTCTTCCAACCAGCAGTTGCTACGTTAGCTTTCTAAAAACTCTTTTTTTTTTAATAGATTTTATTCATAAACGTTTTTTGAATACAGCGTTTTGACCGAGTATATTAGTTATAAAAACACAAAAAATGTAGCTAATACTGTAAAAAATATTGTCCCATTTACTACTACTAATAATAATATAATAACACATACTGTAAATTAAGAAGTCTAATAACACTATCATAGTTTCCATACAGTACAATTCCCATTCTTTGCGTTTAGCTCAGAGGTCTCCAAACTTGGCAACTTTTAAGACTTGAGCGGAAGTGGTTGAAGGAACGCCTCCAAATCCCGTCCAGCTCGCTGGAGGCCCGGCAGGAATACGGGGTCACTTTGGGGAAAAGTTTGGACAGCAGAGCCTCTTCTGAGTGGCTGTAGTGACCAAATGCTGGGGATATTCCACTTCCCAGAATTCTCCATGGGAGTTGAAGTCCACAAGTCTTAAAGTTGCCAAGTTTGGGGACCCCTGGTTTAGTTCATTCATATTTTTAGTACTTATAACAATTATAGTTGTATACCGTCCCTGTTTTTGATAAGACCGTTCCTTGTTTTCCTTCCTCTAACTTCTACCCTTGTTTTTAACCACGCGTAAAATCTATTCCTTGTCAAATAGTATTCTGAGTCTTCTTTTTCTCTTCTTTTTAACATTAATATGTCCATCTCAGCACGTGCTAGGATTTTCCTGATTACCTCCTCATCTGCTTTCTAAAAACTCTACGGGTAGTCCTTGACTTATGACCAATCACTTAGGGATTGTACGAAGTCACCACAGACTCTCACAAACGACAGATAGTCCCCTTGACTTACAATCGTTTGTTTAATGGCTGTTCGAAGTGACAGCGGCACTTAAAAAAAAAAGTGACTTGTGACAGTTTTTCATACTAATGGCTGTTGCCGCATCCCCGGGGACGTGATCAAAATTCGGAGGCTTGGCAACTGGCATGTACTTGTGACGGTTGCACTGGGTATGTGTGTGTCACGCAACCACCATATTAAGCGAAGTAAATGGGGGAAGCCAGCTTTGCTTAATGACACGAGTCACTTAGCAACTGTGGTGATTCGCTTAAGAACCACAACAAAAGAGGTCGTAAAATGGGGCGTGGCTCATTTAACAATGGTCTTGCTTAGCAATGGAAATTTGGATTGGCTGTTGAGTCAAGGATTAACTGTACTATAATCTTTTGTGGATGAAAACAGTGGGAGAAAGTGGAGCTGAATTTAACATTTGTTGTTACAAGGAGCAATATGACATCGGAAACATATCTTGTTTACCTTTGTCCTGGATCTGTGGAGACTGACACATTCCCAAGAGAATTTGCAGCACTTGTAAAATTGGCTCCAAAACCTGTAACGGTAAAGGGCGACAATTCAAAATAAAAATCTAGGGGCAGAGTTAACATTACGTAAACGTGTTTCATATTGTAACTCCAGGTTGTTAACAATAGAGGGTAACATAAACTAACCAAAATACTAACAGTAATGTAAGGCTACAGAATGAAGTAGTAGTGTTGTGTCAGAAGATTGAAATGAAGATAAAGCCAGAGCTGCAATTAAATTATCTCCTTCTATGTTTCTAGGCACCTGATTGCCAACAGTTGAAAACATTCTTGCAAAAAGAGTTTAGCTGTCTTCAAAGAAAACCATGGAAGACCTTTGGGACTTTAAAATGACAGGAAAAAAATAAGTTAACGGTCAATGTGTTGAATTGCATATGGCCACTCTTACCTGCCCCCTCTTTTTAAAAAAAATTTAAATTTTTATTAAGTAAACATTAAAAACAGTTGAACACAATGTGACCTTTGTTGGCCGTCATTTTGGCCATACCTACTACAGCATAGAAATACATATAACAGTTAATTTTCCCTTTTTCCCAACATTGTTAATATAATGCTAGTTACATATTTGTTTCTATTTGCATTTATATAGATATTTATAACCTAGCTTCTTTTTCATCTCCTTTTTCCCCTTGTAATATTTATATTCATATCATATTTGTCCATTATATTTCATTTTTTTAACTTACAAAATTTTTACTTTCATTCCTATAAAGCGTCAACAATTTTTTCTTTTCCTCGAGTCCAACCATTGATACCATTTTACTCCAGACTTCATAGTACTGTCTCACCCTTATCCTTAATATCTAGAGTTAGTCTGTCCATCTGTGCACAGACTAATATTTTCCTTATTATTTCGCTTTCTATAGGGGTATCTTCATTCTTCCAGTTTTAGGCATACACCAGTCTCGCAGCAGTCATTATGGGTAACATTAAATATATTGTTCCTTTACTGTATTTCTCATTTATAATTCCCAGTAGGAACGTTTCTGGTCTAAACTCTATTTTTTGGCTAACCATCTCTTCCATTCATACCTTTATTTGCCACCAATACTTTTTTGCTTTTACACATTTCTACCACGTGTGATAGTAGGTCCCCATCTCCATGTTGCCTTTCCAGCATTGTGGCTCTTACCTGGTCTCTTAAAGATGCATCTCTGTAGGCCACATCGGACAGCAAGGTCACCAAACAGAAGCTGAAATTTTCTGCAACTGGGAGGATGCCTATAAGTGTGGTAATTAATGGAATAGGATTGCGATTAACCAGAGGAATGCACGCCAGCGATCCACCCAAGACCAAGATGCGGGAGGCTTGGAAAGCCTTTTAGTTTATTTATTAATTAAATTTATTTGCCACCCATCCCATTAGTGAGTCATGGAAGTGAACACAGTGCTATGGAAGTGAACACAGTGCTAAACCTTTCCCCCTTTTCTTACTGCCTGGCCTCCCAAATCTAGCTTTAAGAAGCTGACATCAGATAGCCTAGGCCAGGGGTCTGCAACCTTAAACACTGCAAGAGCCATTTGGACCCGTTTCCCAAAGAAAACAAAACAACGGGAGCCACAAAACCTGGGTGGACGTGGCCAACTCAACGTCACTCCCACCCAGTCACATGACACACACATATATATACACACACACACACGGCCATGCCTACCCAGGTTTTGTGGCTCCCAGTATTTTCTGTGGGAAATGGGTCTTTCTCTCTCTCTCCCTCCCTCCCTCCCATTTCTGTTTTTTGTTTTACCTTCTCAGGTCAGGCGAGAAGTGACTGGGAGGGGAGGCCAAGGGGCGGGGCCAGCCAGTGGTGGGATCACCCAACAGGGAGCCACAGCAGAAGGCCCGAAGAGCCGCATGCGGCTCCAGAGCTGCGGGTTGCTGACACCCGGCCTAGGCTAAGCCAATGCTTCTCAACCTTGGGAACTTTAAGAGGTGTGGACTTCAACTCCCAGAATTCTCCAGCCAGCACGTGGAATTCTGAGAGTTGAAGTCCATACATCTTACAGTTGCCAAGGTTGAGACACATATGCCTCAGCCTAAAATCTAGCTAAACTCCTCCCCCCCCTCAAAAAACAAAACAAAAAACACAGTTTAAAAAGTCACCTCGGCCTTTTCGCGAATTGCTTTCTTCAATCCACTGCACTTTGGGAAGGCCTCTCAGTAGCCGGAGAAGATAAGGGATGAGTGAATCTTTGTGCTGGAAGAACAAATTGTTTTGGTTTTTTTTAATGTCACAACAACAACAGAATGCAGCAGGAAAATGTTATCTCAATACTCTAAGAACGAGGCCAAGCCCAGCTCAAATGCATTGCACAAACGATCAGAATAATCTGCACGACGTGGCTGATAGGATTTAAGCAGAAAATACAGAGAAAAGGGCTTCACAAAAGAATAGAATAGAATAGAATAGAATAGAATAGAACAGAATTCTTCATTGGCCAAGTGTGATTGGACACACAGGAATTTCTCTTTAGTGCATATGCTCTCTGTACATAAAAGAAAAGATACATGTGTCGAGGGTCAAGAATCATCAGGTACAATATTTAATAATAGTCATAGGGTTCAATAAGTAATCAAATCATACTAGGAAACAGTCAATATAAATTGTAAGGATACAAGCGACAAGGTTACAGTCATACAGTTTTAAGTGGGAGGCGATATGTGATAAGGAGTGATGAGAAGATTAAAAGTAATAGTAGTGCAAACTTAGTACATAGTTGGACAGTGTTGAGGGAATTATTTGTTTAGCAGATGGATGGAGTTTGGGAAGAAACTGTCCTTGTGTCTAGTTGTTCTGGTGTGCAGGACTCTATAGCGTCGTTTTGAGGGAAGGAGTTGAAATAGTTTGTGTCCAGGATGTGAGGGGTCTGTAGATATTTTCACAGCCCCCTTTTTGACTCGTGCAGCATACAGGTCCTCCATGGAAGGCAGGTTGGTAGCCATTGTTTTTTCTGCAGTCCTAATTACTCTCTGGAGTGTGTCTGACTTGTTGGGTTGCAGGCCAGTGTTTGTCAACTATAAGAAGTGTGGACTTCAACTCCCAGAATTCTCCAGCCAGAAGAAGGAATTCTGGGAGATGAAGCTCCTCGCATCTTAAAATCGCTGAGCTTGAGAAACACTGCTTTAAACAAATGAACATGGCTAAACAAGTTTAGCAAACGTGAGATATCACGGTGTTTTAATAGTTTTATTTCAGTATGTGGAGTTTTTGGCTGGTGCCCTAGAGAACCTGAGGAAGGGGGTGGTGGTGGTTGTAAATCTTTTTTTTAAATGTATTAAGAGAATAAAGGGGAATGGTACCTGCAGGTCAGACTCTATTAGAAAAATTCCCAGTGCAATCACAGCATCTCTGCGGCGTTCGTCCAGCTGAAAAATCCCATGGATATCCACCGGACACATGCAGAGAAGTTTTTGGACCTATGGGAGAAAAAGAAAAAGAAGGATATACAGGTAAACCTCAACTTACGACCAAAATTGAGTCCAAAATTCCTGTTGCTAAGCGAGACGCCTGTTACATGAGGTTTGCAAATTTCTATTGCTGAGGAAGACATTTGGGTAAGCGAGATTTCCCGTTTTACGACCTTCCTTTTACCATACTTAAGTGAATCACTGCAGATGTTAACTTAGTAACAAAGTTGTTGGGTGAACCTGGCTTCCCCATTGACTCTGCCTGTCAGAAGATTGCAACATGGGACAAAACTCACGCATCAAATGTCTTGCTTAGCAGCAGAATTTGGGGGCTCAGTTGTGGTCATAAGTCGAGGACTACCTGTATAAACGTATAGTTTACTCATATTGTGCAGTCCCATCCTATGCATATTAGAGTCATGCAAGCTCTAAGCAATTCAACAGGTAAATCTTTATAAGATCGCACTTTGAGATCATCATCTTCTTTTAATGATGCCATAATCCCTCGGGGGGGGGGGGGGGGGGGAGTCTGGGCAACTGAATGGAGCGGAGTGTTTCCTGGCCGGATGCCCTTCCTGTCGCCAATGTGGAGTTATATTCAGCAGATATACACTCATTATGCCCAGAGAGAGAAATATCTGGCTCTACCTAGGATTGAACTCACAGCCTTCTGATTGTGAGGGGAGAGCTCCACCTCTAGGCCACCTCACCACTCTAAGATCGCACCTTGAGATACTTTTCAGAAATCAGTATTTCTGGAACTAGTATTTATTGATATCCCTTTGTTTTTTTTACTGTCCTTAATACTTCATTGCTCTCTGACCACTCAATAGAGATACAGAGATATATCCTAACTCACTTAAATGCCAGTGTTCATGCAATTTGGTAGGGACCAAAAAAAATCTTTCTGTATTAGTGAGATATTCTTATCCAATTTGCCTACTAAACAGCCATAAAAACAAAATATGTAGAGAAGACATCACAATAATCAGCCAAAAGCGAAACTCATAAACATAGGTACCGAAACCACACCATTACAGGTGTGGTATAAAAATGTACGGAGAACTGTCACTAGAAAAGCCACAGCAGTGAATATGGTCTCAAATGAAAACCTGAATTGTAGGTTAGGTTATATAATCCACAGAAAGACAGATGAATGAGAATCAGCCAAAGATAACTTGGTACAGAAAAATTGTAGAGAAAAATAACTTGGTACAGAAAAATTGTAGAGAAAGATAACTTGGTACAGAAAAATTGTAGAGAAATCTGCGATTGTGTGTGTGGAAGAATACAAAACCAGTTGCAATAAATTGGGAGGTTGACTTGAGCAAATGTTTATTGAAGTCCGGCAAAAGTTTATTTTTACTTTAGACCTTTAGCAGTTACAACTTTACAACCTTTATAAGAAAACAATCATTCTATGTGGAAAAAAGAAACAGTGAATACACTTTTATCAAAACAACCAGTCGCCAAGTTTAGAAAGAAACTCTCTAATCCAGTGCTTTTCAAAGCTGGGAATTTTAAACCATGTGAATTTCAAATTGCAGAATTGCTAGCTGGGGAATTCTAGGAATTGAAATCCACACATCTTAAACCTTTCAAGTTTGAAAAAAAAAAAAAAAACCTGCTCTAAACTAAGAAACAGTGATCCTGTTCTTAATCACTTTAAAAAATTCCACAATAATCTAGGCGGCTTATTCCCAAGCAGAACATTCAACAAATCAGCTCAGACATAAATCTGATTTAATCTAAGCTACACCTACATTGGGTAATAATAAAAATTCACCAGAACTCAAACAGAATTCCTTTATTGCCATTGCATTCCACGAATACAATGAAATTTGAAAGCTACTCCAGCACAGTGCCTTAAACACATCACAATCACACTACAGAGTTTAAAAATTAAAATAATTATAATAATAGGACTAAATACAGATACAGATAGATAATCAGAGTTGGAAGGGACCTTATAGGTCATCTATTCCAACCCCCCACCCAAGTGGGAGACCCTACACCATTTCTGACAAATGGCAGTCCAATCTCTTCTTGACAGTCTCAAGTGATGGCGCTCCCACAACTTCCGAGGGCAACTTCTGTTCCATGGGTTGATTGTTCTCACTGTCAGAAAGTTTCTCCTTGTTTCCAGGTTAAATCTCTCCTTGTTCAGTTTCCATCCATTATTCCTTGTCTGGCCTACAGGAGCTTTAGAAAATAGCTTGACCCCTTTCCTCCCTGTGGCAGCCCCTCAAATATTGGAATATTGGAATCATAAATGCAGGACTCAAAGAAACAATGACTGACTGTACTGTATTGACTGATAGATCATCCTAGCAAAAAGGTCTACCAAATTAAAAAAAAACTTGGAAGCAATTGAACAGCTTGACAACAACACTTATAAATGCTGCAGACACCAAAAGATATTACAAATGTCTTTTAAAAGAAGGGGAATGAAGAATGTTTTTGAAACTAAACAGGTACAAACATTCCTAATTGCACAGAGAGAGTGGAAACACAATTCATATGCGTAATATTGCTAAAGCACAAGCATTTCCCAATAATGCTTACATTAAATCTTTATTATCATCACCTGACAAACAGGTGGATTATCTGACAAAGCACTGAACTTTCACTGAAGTTCACTGCTATCATGTCACTCCCTAATTCTTCTTTTCTCTAGTCAGACCCAAAACCTGCAGCCGTTCTTGATATGGTTTAATCTCCTTGATATGGTTTAATCTCCTTTGATCATTTTAGTTGCTCTTCTTTGAACTTTTAGAATACATGGGACCCTTGGAGGTCTTCTAGTCTGGCCCCCTTGTTCAAGCAGGAGAGTCCTAGACCGTTTGAGACAAGCGACTGTTCAGTCTCTTCTTAAAAACCTCCAGAAGAGACTGGACAGTCACATTTGAAACGGTCTAGGGGTCTCCAGCTTGAGCAAGGGGGCTGGACTAGAAGACCTCCAAGGTCCCTTCCCCCTCTATTCTGATTGATTGGAATGGTCAATGGAGTAGAAGACCTCCAAGGTCCCTTCCTGCTCTATTCTGATTGATTGATTGATTGATTGATTGGAATGGTCACCTCCAAGGTCCCTCCCAGTTCTATTCTGATTGACTGATAGGGTCTCCTGCTTGAGCAAGGGGGCTGGACTAGATGACCACGAGAGATCCCTTCCACCTCTATTCTACGACCGATTGATCGATCGGTTTCCGCGGCCAGCCCTCTTTGTCATCCTCTTCCCGGCTGCTCTTAGCGGTCCAGGCCCCGAGAATCCCCCCATTCACCCCCCCCCCCCACCCCCGATGCCCCCCCCCCCCCCCCCCCCCGCCCGCCCGCCTGCACCTTCTCGAGCGGGGCGGGTCTCTGGACGGCCAGCGAGCGGGCGAGCGACAGCACCGTGTTGAAGTAGAAGCCCCGCGACGAAGCCGGGCTGCCCTGCCTCTCGGAGCGCGCGGCGGTTACGGCCGCCGCAGTGGCAGCCGCCGCGGTGGCCACGGCCAGCGCCGACATCTTGGGAGGGAGAGAAGCGGCGAGCGAAGCCGCCCCCACAAGCCGTCACGGCCGGGCCACGCCTCTCACGCCGGGCCACGCCCCTCACGCTCCTCAAGGACGCGCCCCGTTCTCCTCTTCTCGCGAGAGCTGCCCAGATTGCGACCCCCAGCGAGGGTTCGGCGCAGGCGCGCCATCGTTTTCATGAACCCCTCCCCTCCCCAGCGCTGTAGCTCCGCCCCCCTAAGTCACGGGATGGTTCGACCCGGCGACGGCAATCGCGGCCTTGTCCGTGACCGGAAGTGAGGCAGAGGACGGGTAGCCGTGGGTGGCGCCTCAGGGAAACTCCGGGATGGGCGGTTAATCGCCGGCTTCTCGTCAGAGAGACTCCAGGCAGTGACGTTGGCCTGCTTCAACGGCCTGTCTTTCCTCCTCTGGAGCTTCGGGGGTTCCACAACACCCCTGCGAGGTAGGCTGGGCTGAGGTGGCGTCGCTCTTGTTTATCCTTTCAGGAAATGATTTTTTTTTAAAAAAAATCGACATTTGAATCCTATTACTTTCTTGGTGGGGTGGGCGTGGGTGTCTCCTCTGAGCGGGGATTCACAACGGCTCCGTGAGGTAGGCAGGGTTGAGATAGATGGCCTCAAGATCCACTCCTCGGTGTGCTTCCTGACAGAGAATGAAGGTTGAGGGTGTCCAAGTTTTAATTACCCCATTACTGACTTCCCCAATTCGGTGATTTCCACTAAAGCTACAGTGGGACTACAGTGCCCATCATCCACATCTAACCTGGCTTCCTTCGGATGTGTTCCCATCATCCCCATTTATCTAAATTATTTATATAGCTGCCCATTTTTCAGTCAACTTGGGGCTACTCCCAATGAAAGATTTATTTAAAAAAACATATAAAATCATTTGAAAAACTATAAAACTCAACTAGTTAAAATATAAAAGGTTAAAAACAATAAAAATCGGGCTCCTGTCGCCTCCAGCCAAGATTTAGTAAACAAATCAAATATACTTGGGGGAAAAGCAGGCATTTAAGGCGTTAGGGGAAAAAAAATCTTCCGTTTGCATATATTTATTTATGATATTTACAGATACAGATAATCAGAGTTGGAAGGGACCTTATAGGTCATCTAGTCCAACCCCCCCAAGTGGGAGACCCTATATAGCTTCTTAACTCATGAACACGACTCTAGGCAGCTTACAATAAAGAACTGGTTAAATCAAGACAAAAGTTAAACACACACTAATATAATAATAGCAATTATTAATTTTATTAATGTGTATTCAACTTTTATTATAAAAACTGAAAATAATAAAAATTAATAGGCAAACAGACCAATATTCTACATATAGTACTACTGTATAACAATATTGTGGGGAGTTCCCCCTTTCTCTTAGAGTTCTGAGCCTGCTTGGAAAAAAAATAATAAAACATGTTTTCGGGGATTTCTTAATACTAGAAAAATCAGAGCTGATCTCAGCTCAGGAAACATTTGTCCTTGTGGCTTGCTATAACAATAAATTGAAAAAATAGAATTGGGTCAAATTAATAACTGTTTGAGGGTTTGTATATTTTAAAAATACCCTTTGAAGCAGGTACAAGGTTAAATAGCCTTGGGGAGTGAGGACAAGCTTCTTATGTGGAAGTGACATTGCCCTAGACAGGAAAAGAATATTTTGTTTTGGGGGTTCTGCAATTAGAACCCTACTCAGTTGGAGATCGATAGAGCTCCAAGCTGGGAAAGGATATGAAAATCAAATGAAGCATTTTGAGTCAATTAAGATTGAAGGAGATAAACTATATATATTCCTGCAACATTGCTGGAAGGTACAGTCCAGTTCTTTAAGTTATTCTAAATAGTTGATGATTAAATGCAGAGTCCTTCCAAGGAATTTTGTGGCTTCCTATGTCAATAAGTGCTCATGTGTTTGTCATTTGGTGTCTTGCTACAGAAGTTTAGTAGATAGTGGTCAATAGTATTTACTATTTCAATAGGTAATAAATATTTATTATTTCATGAAATAGTAAATGTGGAATATTGATTTAATTTTGCAAAATGGGACCTTATCTTTCATGGGAAAAGAACCTGCTTTAAGCTGTGTAAATGTGGCTCTGTCAACATGCTCTGATGATAGTTTACTTATGTATTTACCTTGTACTTTTTAACTTTAGAGAAAATTTCAAGTTTTGAACAAACCTTTCTTTGCATTGGGGCTCATAACTGAGACTTCTACATACTATAATAATATTTAAATGAGAGATCTAAAATGAGATATTGTGAACAGGCAGTAAATTGTTCATAGGTTGTTTTTTATTGTTGTGCTGGGTTTTTTTCTCTGTTAGATGCCAGTCTATTGACTAAGTTATTCTGGGTCTTGACTCATTCAATGAGAGGCAGGTAATTATTTGATTGCCTAGGACAGAATGTCTTGGGCCTTTCCTAAGAATGGCATTGAAGTTGACTTTTGCCATTTCCGATGTGTCTTCAGCTACACTAGCTGCAAAAAACTGCCCACAAAGCAGTTTCAAGATGCCTGGAAAGATGAATTGTCTGTTAGAACAGCAGGACTTGTGGCTCAGCTGGTTCACTTTGGATTTCCTGAAATTGTGTTGAGATAACTGATTACTACTCTTTGGGCAAATTAAAAGATTGATGGAACACAGCTACCCTATGCTGGTTCCTTGTAGTGAGCCGAGAACTCTTTCCTGTTTTTGGAAGCCTTCACAGAATTTTGCATTCAAGCAATTTGACGCTCTATTTATGTTTATCAGATTTCTATACCACCCAGCTCGCTTAAGTGACACTGAACGGTTTACAGGTAGTCCTCAACTTATGACCACGATTGAGCCTAACATTTCTGTTGTAAACAGCAAAACAATTGTTAAATAAATTTTGCCCCATTTTATGAACTTTTTTTTTGGCCATAGTTGTTAAGCAAATCACTGCAGTCATTAAGTGAATCTGGCTTCCCCTATTGACTCTGCTTGTCACAAGCCAGCTAGTAAGATTACATATGGAGGCCACCTGATTCTGGGATGCAACCATTGTAAATACATACCGATTGCCAAATTTTGATCATGTGACCATGGGAATGCTGCCATGGTTATAAGTCACTTTTTTCAGTGCTGTTGTAGTGCTTCAAATGGTCAGTAAATGAATGGTTGTAATTCAAGAACTATCTGTATGACTATAAATATGTTTCATGATGGAAATTTCTTTCTCTTGCAAAGTTTGGCTTTTCAATACATCGCCATTAATCCTTTTACAGGAAGGACTTAATCGTCATTTGAAAAACACCGGCTTCATTCTGTCCTTGTAAACCTACATTATAAATAGAAGCGATCTGAATTTGGGGCTGCAGCAATGTCAACTTTCCCCAAAAGTTGCAATCCTTTTGATGATGATGATGACTTCAAGCCAGTCAAGTGGAATGAAGGGGAAGAGCCTCCAAGAGAAGGTCCAGACAGACAAAGATATTTACAACAGGAAGTCATGAGGCTCTCAAAATCGACTCTAGATAGCACCAACAACTCACTGTCTCTCATTTATGAGTCTGAACATGTGGGAGTCGCCACATCAGAGGTAAACAAGAATCTTGAAAACATATTTTGCAGTGTTTGCATGCTATGGAAGTAAGGCTAAACAAGGTAATATCAGAGTACTGACGGTGTTTCCTAGTTAGTTAATAAAACATCTTGCAAGAAAACAACCAAGTTCAGAGAACACCAAGGATTCCACAGTCCTCCTCCTCCTCCCTGAAAACCCCACTCCCCTCTAGCACTGATGATGTTACCCAGTTGGGCAATAAAACTTCTGCAAGAAAACCACCAAGCTGAGAGAGTACCAGGGACCCCCATGGTTCAACAATCCTAAGCTACAAATATTGTGAACTATTGGTAATTATATTCTATGTTGTTACTGCTTTAGCTTAACAAAGAGAAAGTCACAGTCCCTTTTGCATAAAATGTGTTTTATTGAGGAATTAAAATACCAGCATCCCTTTTGCCGGTTGTTTTTTGTTTGAAACACCATGTTGCTTTTGGCAGGAACTTGTACGGCAAGGAGAAGCCCTGAAGCGTACTGAACGCATGGTGGATAAGATGGACCAAGATTTAAAGACGAGCCAGAAACATATCAATAGCATTAAGAGTGTCTTTGGGGGCTTCGTCAATTACTTCAAAGCCAAGCCACAAGACATCAAACCTGAGCAGAATGGAGCCTCCCAATATCAAGGAAGCAACAGGTAGATGATTGAGGTTTTTCTTCTAAGGGAGCAGGAAGTGGGTGGGCATCCGAGTTCATCCATGCCCGAGTGACATTCGGCTTGAATTTATTACTAGATTTTTATCCCACCTTCAAAGTGGCAAACATACCATACTTACTGCCTTCCTCTTTCCCCACAAAAATAAAAGGGGGGAAAGGGGTTTGAAAGAACAGTGCGCAGCTTGGAAATTGAAAGTGCATTCCATAAATAGTTTTTCAAAGATAGTAACTAGGTGACTGTAGTATCTGCCGTGCAAAATTCTAACTGGAGAACATGATTGATGACTCTTGGCTATGGATGTGTCCCATTGGAGAATATGAATTAGGATACACCCAGAGGGGTGAGGGGAAACCAAAGTCAAGGCTGACAGTGAATGATGTTTCTCAGAGTTGGCTACACCCAGGGAGTGCCGGACATGTTAACTCCCAATAAATCATCTTTGAGCTTTGAAAATCCAGCTAGAGACTCATTATTTAAATGGGGGTAACTACCGGAATCCTAACAGCAAGGTTGGTTGGGCTGAGAGAGAAGAAATGGCCCAAAGTCACCCAGCTGAAGTCACAGTCTCCTGGTGATTCACCCAAGTCACCCAGTCAAGTTCCATGCCTAAAGTTCCATGCCTAGTTCCATGCCTAGTTCCATGCCTAGAACACCCAGTCTCCTGGCGATTGGGTGAAAGTCACCCAACCAGCTTTCATACCTAAGGTCACAGAAGTCACAATCTCCTGGTGATTGCCCCAAAGTCACCTAGTTGGTTTTCATGCCTAAGGTGGGCCTAGGTTTCTCTCCGGGTTTCTAGGCCAGCACCTTAACCACTACATGTCAGACTTTCTGAAGGGGGTTGAGAAAATAAAACAGTTGTCTTCAACAGTTGTCTTTCCAATAAGTTTCTGTGGGTTTGTGGTTAAACGCAAGTGGATGTTGTCAGCCTGAGCTTTAGCTGTACACCCAGTAAATAAAACATTTAATACAGAAATATAGCAGAAAGGGAAACTTTTTTTTTCTAATGCGGTGTTTCTCAACTCTGGCCACTTTGAGAGATGTGGACTCCAACTCCCAGAATTACACAGCTAGCTTAAAGTCCACGCATCTTAAAGCTACCAAGGTTGAGAAACATTGATAACGCAAAGCTTGCTTCCGTTTGGAAGCAAGTGGAGCCGTAAATGCTGAACATGGGGAATTCCCTTTTCTTCCTCTGTCTAGATTAAAAGAAGCATTATCCGTCAGTAAAGAGCAGGAGTCCAAGTACCAGGAGACTCATCCAAATTTACGGAAGTTGGAAAACTCAGGTTTGCTTGACTTTGCTTGTTTAAAGGCTCTGCATTTTATAGAACTTGAACATAGTCATGATTATTTTGGGCAGCAGAGCTCTCTATATAAGAGTTCCTGTGTTTATTAATCCGAAAACCACCTTGCTTAATTTGGAGGGGAATGTGTGCTAGTCTCATACGAGATCGGCCCTTGAATATGACTTAGTTTTTAAAAGGGATGTCCTTAAACCGGCATTTTCTTCCCTCTTTCCAGACTTCAGTTCCAGTGGAACCAGTTCAAACAACTCCTCCCAGTCTGATCATTACCCCAGGAACCAGCACCTCCGTGCTTACCATCAGAAAATTGATAGCAACTTAGGTGAGTCATGATAGTCCACGTTCCCTGGTGTTAACCTTAGTTGTTTGCAGGTAATATTCATCTTATCACAATTGAGCCCCAAATTTCCATTGCTAAACAAGACTGCTAAGTGAGTTTTGCCCAATTTTATGACCTTTCTTGCAATCGTTAAGTGAATCACTACAGCTGTTGTTAGTAAAACGGTTGTAAAATGAATCTGGCTTCCTCATTCATTTGGCTTGTCAGAAGGTCGCAAAAGGGGATCGCATGACCTTGGGACAGGGCAACGGTCATAAATATGAATCAGTAGCCAAGCATCTGAATTTTGATCACATGATCATGGGGATGCTTCAAAGGGTGGTAACTCTGAAAAACAGTCATAAGTCACTTTTTTCAGTGCTGTTATAACTTTGAACAGTCACTAATCAAATGCTTGTAAGTTGAGGATCACCTGTATTAAGCCTTCTAGATTTCCGATCATCTTCCTTTCAGAAGAAAAGGATCTTGTTCCTATTTCCTGGAAGAGGAAGAATTGGGACAAAGCTGCCATTATTGTCTTTCCCAGCAGACAATATTTAGGAAAATAAAGTTAATACTTTGCTCAAACCATAGTTAATATTAATCATGTTTGTTGAGCAAGCCACAATGACGTGATTTGCAATGTAATGGTTTACTGACCCTAGTAATTATAGTTAAAAGTAAAGGTTCCCCTTGCACCTACGTGCTAGTTGTTTCTGGCTCTAGGGGGTGGCGCTCATCTCCGTTACAAAGCCGAAGAGCCAGCGCTGTCCGAAGACATCTCCGTGGTTCATGTGGCCGGCAGGACTAAACACCGAAGGCGCACGGAACGCTGTTCCTTTCCCACCAAAGGGGTCCCTGTTTTTCTACTTGCATTTTTACATGCTTTTGAACGGCTAGGTTGGCAGAAGCTGGGACAAGGAATGGGAGCTCATTCCGTTACGCGGTGCTAGTGATTTGAACTGCCAAACTGTCTTAGCCACTGAGCCATGGCAAATACAGTGCAAATCGCTAAAACACCTCATATTGGCTTAATGCAGGGGTGGAATTTGCCCTGCTGGGCTGCGCCAAATCCTCTTTTAATTTAACCAAGGGAATCTCATGAATAGTCTTGGATACAAACTGCCTCACAAACACCTCTGTGTTTGTCTACCTTTTGTGTTACTAATTTTACGCTTTTGTGTGTGTGGGGTCTTTGCAGATGACATGTCCAGCGGGCTGGGCCGACTGAAAAATCTCGCTCTTGGCTTGCAAACCGAAATCGATGATCAGGATGAGATCCTGCATCGCCTCACCGGGAAAGTGGATACCTTGGACATCAACATCAAGAGCACAGACAAGCGAATCAAGGAGGAGCTTTAAAGGAATCCCGGGGTGTCTCTGGCCTCTGTTTATCAACTCAATATATTTTATGCAGCTGGGGGCCTTTTCTTGCCCAGCTGCGTTGGGGAAGTGCTAGAGAAGAGAGGTTGCTAGTCCATCTTGCCATGTGATTAAAATTGTGAATAGCCTTAAGTGCAATCTGAGAAATTTTAAGCTACTTTCTTTCACGTATAATCCATACAAGCCCTCTGAAGCGTTGTCTTCTGGAACCTTTGATTTCGGAGGAAACATCTCAATTCTGGACAATGATTGGAAAAGATGATTACACCCTGCCTTTCAGTATTCCTTTCGCCTTAATTGTGGCAGGTATGTGCGTTGCCTACTTCACTTACTGCTCATGTATACATTTTTATAAAAGGCTAGTAGAAGAATAAGGTTTCCCTTACATTTCAAAGCTAGGTTGTGTGAAGATGCCTCTGGTGCATACGATAAAACCTCACCCAATTGATAGACTTGAGCTACACCAATAAAGCAGTCATTATCAAGTCAATGCTTATTCCAGTCCAAGACTGTAGCAAGTTAAAAACACTTAAGGAATATCCAGTTAAAAATTCTAGAACAAAATAATCTATATGAAAAATCACAATTTGGCATCCAATCTAGAATTTTTAACTGGCTATTCCTTGAGTGTTTTTAACTTGATCAGACCTTTGACTGTAATAAACCTTGACTTGAAGCAGTCATTTTGGGGAGCGAGGGGGGTCATTCTCCAAAGTACTTACCTACTTGATTTGTGCCAGTAGAATTAAGCCTAGAGTCAGAAAAAAAAAAAGATTTAGATGAAGACATTTATCCAAGACTTAAAGCTTCAGGATGGTACGTTGGGTTGGAATGCTTCCATGCAAAAAACTGCTGCTTTTGTGGTTTTCTCTAAGCAACCCTTCTCTGTAGCTGCTGGGCCTTGATGACTCACTATCTTGTACAAGGTTGTTGCTGCAGGTCTTATTTTAAAAATAATATTGGAAAAGAAACTTACGTGGGAGAGGCACTCTTGACTTTCCACTCAACTGGTTCCAACGGACACCTTTCAACACGGTTAAATTTTACCCGTGAGATCTGTCTTGTGCTTCTATGCCCAGGTTAGTTTGGGATTGTTTGATATGTGGCGTAAGTATCACATGGCTTTCTTCCCTGATGAATGAAAGGCTCATTTCTGAAAATAGTCTTTCTCCTTCTGGTTGACATTTTATTCCTGCAATGTAACTTCTCTTTTTTGTGTGTAAGTTCTACATTATCTGTGTATACTTGATAGGAAAATTCCCATTTTCTTGTAAGTGTCTTCAGTAAATCATTACAATGAGGAGTTTTGGAAACAGCATTTATTAAAACAATTGTTTCTCTCCCATGTTGCTATTTATTAGATACCAGCTGGAAACTTGGTTGTTTCTATGTCGATATCTCTTCAAATTGACTTTGGCTTTAATTCCTAATTCCTTTGCAGTTTGGCAGAAGCCTATTATGGCAGTGTCTAAGCACATCAAATAATTACCGTAGTTCTTTAATCCACTTCTGTTTGTAGCCAAGATAAAATTTCAACAGCTAACACACTGCCACAATCGTGAGAAATATTTTTGCCTTCTGTCAAAGTATCTTATTTGGGAACAGTGAAGGCAATTTTTCCAATTATTTCTTCCTTGGGATCTTGGACGCTGATGGTTTTAACATTGAAATATTACTTTCAACTAGGGGAGAAGAACGCACTTATCCTATTCTCCTTGTCCTTCCTGTGGAGCTAATTTAAATCTTAAACATTTAATAAGCAAGAAGACTGCATAAAAGTGCATAGGAAAAATAGCTGTGAATGATCCATTTCGGTGAAATAGCTAAGATACTCGCTTCTCATGTTTTTCTAGGAAAGCAGTTTTTCATTGAGAAACTTTGAGAAAGCACCCTGTTGCTCTGTTTTAAACACTTTGCCCACTGTAGTGGGGTGCAATGTTTGTTTTTTTAAAGGATTGTGATAAAAGATTTTAGATTTTTCAGAGTTGCTTTGGGGCAGTTGCCAAGAAGAAAAGAAGATATTTCTCATTGTGTTCCTTTTGCTTTGATTGTACACGGGCAAAATAATCCCCACACTGTAACTTTCTTTGAGCTCTTATGTTAGCTACACCTTAAACGTGAGTTCAATATTCCTCTTCTTTCCTAATTGAGAAAGTCAAGTTGACCATGTACTGGGGTATGCACTTTATTGAGCTCTTCGATTGGCTAACTTTCTAAAGTAAATATATCTTATGGCTTATACCCACCCGCTATAATTGTTCTGCTTGCAGAGTCTTTATCAGCAGAGAGCAAATATAAGATGGGCATGAGGCCAGGATGGGACAAACATTCTTTTGTATTGATAAAATTCCATGGCAAGCAAAACAGATGTTTCCCCTTCTTGAACAACATTTGAATTCAGACAGGATTGAAATCTTGGGGTTTTTTTGTATACCTGTCTCTGCATATTTAATGTCCCCCCCCCCCCCCCAAATGGTTAGTTTCTTGAAAGCTTCATTGGGGTTAATTTCCCATTACCTAGAATAATGAGGCTTGAGAAATGTAGACAATCGATTTGGAGGCCTTTAAAGATGATGCGTTCCTTCCTTGGAAAATATAGCTCAGTAAATGGTGCAAGTGAACTACTGAGTCTTTATCATTTCTTCAGGCATTTGGCGAAACAAATATTGCTGTGCTGTTGTTTTTTCCTACCTAGACAAAACAGATTTTTGCAAAGGTAATTGTCTTTCTCTAACCAAATATTTTCATTCTTGTAACCAGCTCTATGGAAAACATTTTCCTTTTTTGCTGTTTAGAAGTTACATGATCTGTGAAACTGCCTCTCCCTATCTTTTTACTGTAAACTGAGCTTATTCAAGCTTTATACATAGCTGTTGTTTTATTTTTCACGGTGTGATGGCATCGCTATAGAGTGTTCAATTTTTGACCTATGCTGAACGGGCTGTAGAATTGTCCAGTGGTCAATAAAGAAGGTTATCAATCTTGATTGGGTTTTTTTTGATAACGTTGATTATTCAAAATGCAGTTAGAAATATTAAGTACCTCTATTACTTTACCTGACATGGCTTCCACTGTAACCGAAAATAAATTATTGGCTTATTTGCATTCCCAAGTTATTCTGGGAATTGTAGTTTCAGTATATTTGGAGGCCACTGGATTGGTATAAATTCATGTGGGATATTGACAGCTGAATCTAGACCAAAGTTAAGACTCATGCATATTGAAATGTAAGCTTGTTTAAGTAATCTGCACAGACTCAAGATAATGGCCATTTATGAATAATCGCTTGGTAACTGCAGTAATTTGACGTAGTGTTAAATAATACACAAACTTGATTTATTGGCTGTTCATCGAAAAAAATCAGTGGGATGAAAGCAGATTGTAGAAATCCAGTGACAGCACCCTCCCTGTCCAAAAAATAATAAAGGCAATTTTATGACAAAATAGAAGTTTCAACTCCCCCAGGAAAAAAAAAAAAACAGCTTAACCTGCTTCCATCCAATCAACGGATACTTTAAAAAAAAAACCAGTCATGCTCAAAAGAAAATAGATGGGTTGTGAAATCTGCAAGGAAATTGGAAGAAAATGAAAGCCCTCAAGAAGGTTTTTGTCTTGAATTCCACTTCGCATGACCCACGCTGACAGATATTTGTGCTCTTTATTCTGCTTATATCATCTGAGCTGCACGTTGTATATCTATTTATATAAGCAAGGCTTCAGGATCACTGCAGTTGGATCCTGGCTGCATGTTCCATAGAGGAATGACAGTAACATGAGCAAAGGACAGATAATCCTTGACTTATAACCACCATTGAGCCCTTAAAATTTCTGTTGGTAAGTGAGACCATTGGTTGAATAAAATTTTGCCCATTTTACGACCTCTCCACTGTGGTTTTTAAACGAGTAACATGGTTGTTAAGTGAATCTAGCTTCCTCATTGACTTTGCTTGTTAGATGGTGGCAAAAGGGGATGGCATGACACACACACACCCCTGGACCATCATAAATACATGCCAAGTTGCCAAGCGGCTGAATTTTGATCACGTGACCCCAGGGAGGCTGCCACAGTCTGAAAAACAGTCATAAGTCCCGTTTTTTCCAGTGCCGCTCTAATAGTCAGTACGTGAACAGTTGTAAATCAAGGACTACCTATAGATCCCCAGCTCTGCGTGTCACGAACGGTGTGGGTGACAGCAGGATAGCAGCAGCTTAAATCACACTTTTTAAAAAAATAAATACCCCAAACCGTTGGATGAAGTCACTGCTGTTTCCTTCGCAGCTGTTACTTTGAAAGGGCTGGTGGGTTGGCTCCCTTTCCTTTCTGCCAAGCTAACCGGGCCACAAAAACACAGTTTGCGTGCGCTCCCAGCCACCCAGCCCTGGCATGCGACGATGCACTTGCAACCTTTCCCAAGAGCGGGGCCATGGAGACGGAGTTGGCAGCCATCCATGCCCTTTTAAGTGGGGGGGGGTGGGCCCTCCAAACCGCAAACGGTCCCTTTGCATCAATGGCCCATTGAGAGAGGGGGAAGTGGTTGAAGGGAAGGGGGGAGGGAAATACTCAAATAAGGAACTGTGTCCTCTCGGTAACCTGGCAGAAAGGGCTTCTCTGTAGAAAACAACTCAAATGGCAGCCAGCATCTGAGCAAGGGGCTTCGTTCCTAGGTTAGATAGATGGATAGATATTACTGATAAGACTGATTAGGTCAGAAAGAGGAAGAGAGAGATAGATAGGTAGATGATTAGATGGTGGATGGATAGATAGATGATAGATGGATATATAGATAGAAGATAGATGATTAGATGATGGATAGATAGCTGATGGATAGATAGATGATAGATATAGATAAATAAAAGAGATAGATAAGAAAAGGGATGGAGAGATTAGATAGACAAACATGGATAGATAAGAAAGATGGATAGATAAGAGTAGAGATATGGATGGAGTGGGTAAGAAAAGAGATGGAGAGATACTGATAGACTGAGTAGGTCAAAAAGGAAGATAGATAGATAGATAGATAGATAGATAGATAGATAGATAGATAGA